TCAAGATCAGTTTTCAGTATAGTACTTATGGAACCAGTTGATACTGGAATAGCCCTACATAGTACATAGTCAGAAGCCAACGTCCATGAGTCAAGGTCAACGTATAATAGTTACTAGACAGGTTAAATATGGAGATCTGTAATTCAGATCATTAGTCCAAATTTACCTGGAAACTTGAAGTCAGACTTTGTTAGACCTCAGTAAGATAGTTAGAATTAATCCAAATTCTGAGACTACCAGTCAAATGTCTCGGGAGAACTTCTAAGAAGTCAAGTAAGAGTTATTTAGTTATGTGCAAGTTGAGGATGTCTGTCTAATAAGACAAGACTAATAAGTTTCCTCATAAGTATATTCATGCCTCGATTCTCAAATTCAGAAAATTTGAGAAATCGCAGGAGAGATTATTTCTCAGTGAATTTTTCTTGAGGTTAATTTGGCCTCAGGAAAGGTGAACATTTTCAGAAACAGCGTGTTGATGTACGACACATCTTTCGTTCTTGATGGAGAAGGCTAATCAACAACAAAAAAACAACGCTGTGGTGACGAACCGGAGCCTTCCATACGAGGACGCACGTCGCAAGAAGTGAAGGAAGCCATATCCAAGTCATAGTACGCCGGGAGATCAAGGATAGTTAGCATATTAATACGATGAGTTTACTAGCATGAGATACAGATATGCCCAGTTATATGGACTACGTCGACGTCGCAGGTGCAATGTTCGCCAGGTGCTACATGCTGGCATGCTGCATTCACTAGATGAGGAGCAGGTGTGCCGCATTGCAAAGTGCCGCGAACGATATGCCGCGTCATCGGGTAGGTGTTCACGACAGGTAGTCACCGAGATTTCTAATTGTCCTCATTTGTACAAGTATGTATCTCTGAAGTCTTCCGTGCGTACCACAATGATTTGGGTTTCACAACCTAAGTCTATACTGAAGATCTGTAATTGGCCATGAAGAGATGTTCAGTATGCTCAAGAACTATCTGTTGAGTATCGAGTATAATCAGTGGAGCACTTTTGATTAGTAAAGTGTTCTTATTATAGTCAGTATAACTCCCCAATTCACCTAGTTCTTGTGAATTGGCGATTCTTCAGTTAAAAGCAGTACCATGAGCAGAGTCTAGAGCTCAGTGTTCAGACCTTGTGTTCTAGTATATGCCGTCAAGTTTAGTATAAGCTCTGAGTTAAGCTTGTACATTCAGTTTTAGTATTCCCGAGGACGGAAATAGTTTAAGGGGGATAGATTGTAACACCCCAATTTTTATTAATAAGGGAAAAATACTAGCTTCTGAGTATAAGCTGGCCTTTATTAATGAATGCTCGATATTAGTTCCGAGTCTAAGTTATTCAACTAGTTAAATTTTGAGTTCGACGATAAGTCAAAAATATCTTGGTTATTTTTTTTATGAACCAAGTCAATTCTAGTATTTCATCTCGGTCCGTTTATTTAATAAATGGACATTAGTAAGTTGGGATTAATTATTCCAGCATTGACGTATTATTCGAATTAGAGAATATTCGAGTAATCATTAAAGATGAATTCCAAGCCAGTTATTAAATTCGAAAATTAGTCGAAAGAGTATTCGATTTAAATGAATATTCAGTAACTGAATCAGTTTCGATAATTAAGTTCGATATGTTTATTGTTATAAACGAATATTATTAATCGGAATTAATTATTTTAAGTCGACGTATTATTCGGAGTCAAGATAATCGAATTAATAGTCGAAGTCAAGACACGATCGAAATCGAGCAAGTTCGGTCGAGTTCTTTCCAACCCTAGTTAAGTTTTATAAGCATGATTAGCAATTGTTTTAGTTTCAAATTTCATTAAGTTAATCAGGTATTAGCTTATCTTTCAGCCCATAGTAATTCAATTGTAGTGGCCTA